GCTGTGGTTATGGGACTGCCAACTGTTCTGCTAACAGCCTCTTAACAGGTGTGGGCTCTGGAACCATGTAATCCTATCAAGTTACCAAGTAAAAAAAGAAAAAAGAGGAAAGAAATCCGGCAAACTGGGCTCTGCCTCTCTCTTTCCCCCTCTCTCCCTGCTCTTCGCTATCTTTCTGTCTCTGTTGGCGGTGACAGAAATGAACAGCTGGGCTTCAGATTTATCATGTACAGACAGTAATTATTGCTGGTGCTGCCTGCTACTGACCCAAGTGAATAGAATGTCACATGAAAAAACACACGGCAGAAGGGGGACCTGAGGCTGAGGGGTGCCGGGTCGGGGGACTGTGTGTGTGTGTGTGTGTGTGTGTGTGTGTGTGTGTGTGACACACAGGAGAGAGAGGAGGGCAGTGTTTAAACGTCACTACGTTCCTGTTTGCAGTCAATTACGGACGAGGACAGGGGTATTGGCTCTGTAACTCGGCAGAGCAAACATTTTCCTGCACACAGTGAAGGTGACAGAAAAAAAAAAGAGCTTCTGTGTTTGTTTGCGCTGATTTTTTTTCTTCTTTCCTCCTATCAAAAATAAAGCCACAGTCGGTACCACAGCCACCTTAATCCTGTCAAAGAAAGGCTGATAGAGCATTGAAACTAAGAGGGAAAAAAAACAGCAGTAAAGTGAGAAGACAGATTTAGCTCAACCCCTGCTCTTCTCATCTTTTAAGCTTTTGCCTTACATGTATGATTAACTAAACTCACCAACATATTGATTAATAAAGAATAAAAAAGGGAAAAGTACAGCACTGATGTTGGACCACACGAAGTGTTTCCGTCATTATATCAAGGCTGACCCCACCTGCTGTATTTGTTCCAGAGATAAGAGGGTCAGGAGATAAACTATCAATTTATTACCTGTGTCAATCACTGCCCTTGTCATTAAATAGTTAACCCCGCATCTGCTGCTTCCTTTTCCACACATTCAGTTGTATAAAAGTTGTGGTTTGTCACATTCCATACCCACTAACCTACACACGGACTGGTTCACACCTTAAAAGACCCCCTGCCACATTTAAAAGGATTAGTCACCAGATTTTGTGCTGGCTTAATCTCTCTTTCAGCTGGCCTAATAACTGTGCTTCGATAAACTAAGCATGCAAATTCATTCATGGCCAGTGGAGACCATGCTTTCAGACAAATGCGCCAAAGTCTTCCACTCTGCTAATTACCTCTTCATTCTCCCCGTTTCCCCCTCTTATATAGCATATCAACGACTAGAGATTATTCTTGCCCCTTACTTTGCATGAAATTATAATTTCATATGTAAGATTAGGAAATCGGGTCGGGGAGAGAAAAAAAAGTTACCGCAAGCTTTTCTCTCGACTCTCACAAGAATACATGACACGGCATATTCGGCTGTGAGATTAACATCAGGATTTATTTTCGGCTGAAACAATTTAGACAGAAATATGGGGGGGAAAAGAAGAAAAAAAATTCCAGAAAATGATACATAGTTAAAACTTTTTTTTCTAATTAATGACATAATTTATAATTCACTGCCATCCTTTTTAAGATAGTATAATTAAAAAGGATACTTCACCGTTCTCATTTCCCCTTTTTTAAGTAGTGTAGTTTAACAAACATGCATTATCTGTGATAATAAAAACTTGGCCCGTTACATTTTAGATAATAAAGGCAATGAAGACCCAAGGTGCAACCTGTTTATCATTCTGGAATATTTCTTCACCGAGTATTAATTAGGCCATTACTCCAGATTGGTGACGGGGAGCTTTGAGGTTTTAATTAGGTGCTGGCCACTGCATGAGTGCACAGGATTGAAGAAAGGGGGTGGTGATGCCACTTGCCTCGCTCCTGGCCCATATCAAGTAGCCCTGAACACTTTGGCTACTGCGGCAAGATGCATGGCAGCCCACGTGCATCTGGAGTTTATTTGATCGCTTGATCTCTAATGTTTCGTCTTTCTGCCGGTAAAAAAAAAAAAAAGCCAGTTGGTGTGATTTGGGTATTAAAAGACGGGGGTTAAGGTAATTATGGTGTTGGGTGGCTTGTGTCTGATGACTGGGCACATGCTCAACCAGGACTCAGCTGTCCCTCTCTTTCTGTCTACCCCCCCAACACACACACACACACACACACACACACACACACACACACACTTCCCTCCCCTTGTCTGCTGTCTATATTCCCCCTTCTCTCCCCCTGCCACTCTGCTAAAACCAGGCATAACACACACAGCCTCGCACAACATCAATCAAATACTGAGAGCGGACCATAAAACTACACAAACATATACACTGCCATTAACTACTGTATTTGACACTCATTTAATAGTTCTTGTCGGATGTGGTGTGAAATCAGAAAAATAAATTTAAAGATAGAAAAGGAATAATTCAAGCCAGGTAAACTACAACACTCGATTGGAGAGATATTGTTTTAAATATCGTTTTTCAAATATTGCAATAAAATGTCTATTTTTGACATTTGAAAAATAAAAAAAACATCACATGAATATTAACATTTCCTTTTAAACACTCAATTTATACTCTTTAAAGAGAGCGATGTGAATTGCGTCAGTATATTCAATATGCGTATGTAAGTGATAACAAAAAATCTTATATTTTGGTTTCATTTCAACGAGGTACATAAAAAATAAATCTGGAGAATGTGAGAGTTTTTCCTCGGTTGACAAGGCGATACTAATCACCTCGTTGCTGAGAAGCACTCTTCCCTGACAAGGCTCCTTAGAATACAAGGATCCCCCAGGAGAAATCGGCATGAAAGAGGTTAAAGACAATGACTCGCATTTTTTTCCTCCGAATGTCTCCCTGTTAAATTTATTTCAAAACTCTGTTAATCTGCTGTACACAACATTCCCATTAGCATAGCCCAGCCCCCTAATAAAAATTCCGGCTAGTTTAATTAAAAAATGTAAATTTACTGTCATCCAAGGAGCAGCAGAAATAGGAGTGCAACAGCATATTTTATTGCTTAAGACATCAAATTGATTCAGGTTATTGCTAAATTGTGATAAAAGGTTATTGAAGGCCTTTAGAACTGGGCTTGTTTTTCTCCCTCATTTCATCCTGGTTTTGTGGAAGGCCGTAAAAGATGGAGAGGGCCACAAAGGGTTAATGAGACAACTCGGTGACGGAGAAGGCAATCAACGGTATGACTCATATGAGGCTAGAAAAACATTTTCCGAGCTGACGAAAAGTTTGAAATTAGGGTGTGTCACCGTTGCAGTTTTACTTGTTTGTTGTTATTTCAAACTATAATGCAGGACACCTTAAGTCACCTGACATAACACCCAAGCCTTCGTGTCTGTCTCACGAATGTGTTTGTGAACGCCTGTGGTCACAGTGGTCTGCTCTACAGTCTCTCAGAGTTTTATTTAATTAGAAACAATATCTTTAGATTGGGTTTTATTTTTTCAATAATGCTGTTACATGCAAGGTAAAGAGCAGAAGAGCCTGTGTGGTGTCAAGAGTGGGAAAAATTAATAATTGTCAAGAGGATTCAAATAAGATCGAGAGCGAGTACATAACCAGCACACGTATTAAAAAGAACAGCCTGGAGCAAAACCTGTTTGACTGGAGTTTGAATTACAGATTTTTTTTTCTTCTAAAAATGTGAAAACACCTCAAATAAACGACAGCATAATTCTCGACATAAATATTTTTTCTAAGCATCCTTTCTGTAATTTAAAACACCGATTCTCATTTTAAACTCATTTTAAAAGCAACAGCCTACTCAAAAATGTGCCCACAACCTTTACAAAATATTTATATACCGTCTGAGTTTGAAGTAAAGTGTTTCAAAAATCGAGCAGATAAGATTCATCGAAGTCAAAAGGAACCCATAATGTCTCTAAAAAGTTTAGTTATTGAGTAGTTGTATTTATCTGTAGTGCAAATAATGAAATACAGAGGGGCTATTAATACACACACGTATAAAAGGAAGACACCACTCAGTGCATGCAAACAGAGAACACGCATACAGAGCACACGCAAATACAGACAGAACTAAATGTGAGTGTGAAATATGACTTATTTTAAAACACATACAAAATCCAGTAAAGTGGCGAGTAGAGTGACGCTCATGAGTATAAGGTGCAATCCAGTTACAACAGGACACGTTCATCCTCTCAACAGTACGCACAGAGTGACTGTTATTAACCTGACAGTTATTTCAAATGATCCGCCCCACAGGTGCATTTGCACAAAAATACTAATCAATGAAAACAACCTCATTAAACATTTTAAATAAATGTAGTGTTTTGTTGTAATTTTACTGCATTTGGATTTATCAGACTGTTTACATTTTAATGTAACATTCGCCAGTGTGCTGCGTGAAAACTAATTAGAAGTACCTGGAAAAGGTGTTAGCCCTGCTCCTGTTCCCTTTACATGTGTGACAACAAGAGCAACACAACAGTTTGTTTGCTTTGTCCCCTTGGTAACAAACCCTTAGGCCATTCTACGTACTCGAATGGCATTGCCAGTGCCTTTGTGGGTAAAACCTATACCTGTATTTCTACAGTATCAATACTGGCTCATTGAAAAACATGTAATTAACCGAGGCGACTAAACAAGCAGCAAAACAAGGACGAAGAAAAAGAAGAGCCTGACAGTGAGTTTCTGCTGCTGGTCTCATGTCCTAGAAGAGAAATAGACTCTTGACAAGAGAAAATGAAACTGGCTTTGTGAACTTTCTTCTCATGTGTGCACTGCATGTAACACGGCGTCCTGAGTCCTATGCTGGGAAAACGGGCAATCATATTTGATATTGCAGTCACCTTTAGGCACTGTCAAAGAGCTATAAATAAGGGTGTCGCAACACTTGGGTATACGTATGCTCTGGCACATAGTTTAATCATGAACAACTTCCCCTCTCTGTGTGTTTAGTCGGAGATAAAGGCACACCTTTAACTGTCAGCTAATAAAACATATCTGGCAAAGATAGAAAAAGAAGAAGAGTACTCACCATATTCAGGGAAGTCGAAGTTAAATCCTCTCAGACATGTAACTTTCATAATATGACTCAACTCTGTCAGAAAGTCATTCGAATGTTGGTCGGTGGAGGGGGAAATAAAGCGGAAAAGTAACTAGACTAAAAAAAAAAAGGCTTCCTTCAATCATGCACTAAACTCCTTGACATGTAATCTGTCAATAGTTTGTTGCTGAGATAATGCCGGCTGCCATGAGCGGACTTGATTGGCAGCTTAGGGTCCGGCCCCTCCTTCCTGTGGTTTGACGGGGGGTAGGTGAAAGAATACGGAGCCTCCCCCTTCACTGCTCTCTCTCTCTCTCTCTCTCTGTGTCGCTCTCTCTCTCTGCCTCTCACACGCTGCCTCTCTCTCGCTCTCTGCTTTGCCCCCATACACACACACACACGCACAGACCAAGCTGCTGGTGATGTTGTCTGAATAGGCTGATAGGAAATTATGGCAGAGGAACCGGAGCAGTTTTTTTCTCCCTCCCTCAGTGGGCTGGCCTTTTCCATCTTTGTGGTCTTCTAGCCTTTCAACTCTCTTGGGGTGGAGCCTCTACTGCCTCTATTCAAATGAAGGGAGCACAACACTTGGAAAAAAAAAAAGGTTTGGTAGGAGGAGATTACACGTTTATTAAAATATACTATACTTTGATCTATTTATCTAAGTATTCAAGGCTTTTATCCTCATTATTTGAATCAAATATAGTTAAAAAAGCTGCTTTTTAGACACTATTATTACATTATTGTTTTATACCAAGTACAACTACAGTATGTGAAAGGGTATTTTGTAAGCGGGTCACCTACATATGAAATCATTAAAAGGGACACAACTGCGTATGATGGACACGCTTGTCCTTTTGTGTGTCTTCTTAGAAGCATCAAGAGTTAAATATTTGACAAAGATGTTACTTCAACACCTCAGCTTGAAGCGAATAACTCTTTCACTTCTCTCACAAAACAGAGATCCTCTCTATTTCCGTGCCGTGTAGTGTACTTTCTTTGCCTCGCTCCCTCAGAGCACAGTCTTTCTCCTTCCCTCCCTCTGATAAGCTATCAGTTTTCATTGTAATTTCAGGTGAAATGATAAACGACAGCCGTTACCAGGTGACAATGAATACTTTATAAGACAAAACCCCTTATTTGCCTGGCAGTTTCTTCCGCAGTGGCATGCAAAGTGCCTCTGGACCATTTCTACATAATGGTCCATATACTGTAAACATGACTCTGTATGTCAAGAATGTGTATGTCAAGAATGTGGATTTTACATAGTGACACCAAATAGCAAAAAAAATTGTCTAAACTTTGAAAGGTCACTGGATATTCCAGTTTCCCACAGCAATTGTATTTTGAATAAAGGTGATGTATAACTAACATTTACTGGTTATAGAAAAGAGGAAATGAAGAACTTTATGGCTGTGAACCGTAATGTAATGATACATAGTCCTGGCTTCAGTTCCTGAGTGCTGTCAGCAAAGTCCAAAGTATGTACATAAAACAGGTTTTGGTTGATTTTGAGGTTATGATGACTCATACCGGTTAATACTGGAAAAAAAAAAGCTTTGTCTCCTCCTTCCTAACTCTCATAAAGGGCAATGTCCTTAAAAGCGTTTCTATCAAAAGGTTCCTCCCTTGATCTAACATTGCACTGTAAATACAACTTGTGTTTTTGTTGGCCTTGATAACAAAATCTAGTGTCTAAATGACCTGACTTGGCAGCCAGACCTTTTCTGTTGTAAAGGTTTTGGACATTTGTCAAATGTCCGTCCTGTTTCCCATCAATCACATATTGAACAAACAAACACATTTTGTTTGGTGGATTAGTGAGACCAGGGCCCTGTTCTACGAAGTGAGCTCAACATACTATGTTTTTGTTATCTGGCTAAACTAACCCTGACAACCGTAATCCCGTTAAGCGGTTCTACGACGTTGGTTATCAGCTCGGTAAGTCAACCTGGGTTTCTTAATCTCGCTAGTGTGGTCACATAAAACAGGCAGTGCTAGCAGCATATGACCAATTGCAAACATGGACAAGTCTACTGTCAGCAGAGCTGCATGTTTTACAAACAATAAGGAAACTATGATATTAGAGAAATACGAAGAAGATGAAAAGATATCCCAGGCTAAACGTAACACAGTTACAACTGCTAAACAGGAAGTACAGCTGGCAAAAAATTGCCGACTGTGTGAATGTGTAAATTAACAGACTTATATACTTGTGCGAACGAGTACATCTGACTGCTATAACATTTTTGTATTCCGTTAAGTTAATGTGTTGCTTAGAATGTATTCTTATAGAATAGAATAGAACATTCTTTATTCATCCTGTTGGTTAAATTATTATTATTTCAGCTGCAACCCTGGTGGTATGAAATGGACTTGGGGGCAAATATAAAAACTTAATTCAAAGATGTAAATAGGCTTACTTTCATATCTTATAATCACATACACAGTACACATTAAAGTACCAGTCTTTGCGACTGTTAGGCACGCCTCCGACATGTCGCACTGCATCATACGGCTCAAGAGGCTGACACACATAAGTGAAGATATGATAAGAGAATATAAGCTGATTTTGTGTTATTGTGGTTATGTAACTGTAATTCATGGTGCTGTTAGATTGCTGCTCGACCAATCTGTTGATAAAGGTGCGTGTAGGAGATCAAACTGGTTTTTTTCACCTCAGGGAAAATTTTGTTTTTGAAAGGCTGAACACCAAGAAATATAAAATGTTGACTCTTGGACTTTTTGGCCACCACTGGAATGCAATTCCACAGATAGTATAATACTACTAATATTAGTGTAGCTTACACTATTTCTTATTGCAGTCTACTTAAAGCTTTGAATTATTATAGCCTTTTGTTTAAGTCCGTTTCACACACAATAAGGCTAAAGTATTGTCACACACGGCATAAGAATACTTCTTAACAACACAGCAATTTAATTGAATACACACATGTAATTATAGTAGGATCTAACATGCTCTAGATGTACCAGTGATTATATAAGCCTAACAATTTACACATCCACACAGTCTGTGATTTATTGCCAGCTGTACTTTTTGCAGTTCAAACTGTTTTGCTTTCAGTCTAGATTATGACTTTAACTTCTTCGTAGTTGTGTGATGTTATCTAATGATCCACGCACTGCTCTTTGATTGGTTAGTCGGCGGCGCTTTTATATTAGTTGATACGTTATCTCGAACATAACCTGCTCCAGAGTTGTTACTCTGGAGCAGGTTAGTTGTTGTTGTTACCATATTTATAAATCTGTTCATGTAATGTCGTGCAAAAGACAAATATAGTCAGTCAAGCTAAAATACAATAGTCACTAAAAGACTCAGATCACCGGTCCTGTAATTATTAAAATTGGTGAGTATCTTAATACAAACCGCACTGCAATACGTATATATGTGGATTGTTTAAAAAGTTTTAAAGGATTGTGGTTGAAAATAACATATGAAAACATGTGTGGCTGCAACACTTTGAGACTTTCTGCCACATAGGTACAGCATATCAATACGAAGTAAAACAAAGACTACTGCAGTATATCTAAACTTGATATTGGGGGAGGTTTTAGTTTACAGGGGGGGATTTTATTCATGTCCACAGGAGGGGGGGGGGGGGGGGTTGTTGTCGTCGTCCATGCATTGCAGCCCTCTGGCCCTTGAGCTGCCATCTTTGGGGCCGAAACCATTGCTTTTGAAAAGGAACTGTGGGGATTTTCGTTTGATGTGGTGTGAGAGTATTGTATGGAGCATGCGGGAGAATGTAGAGGGCAAGGTGGAGTGTGTATGCGTGTGAGAGTGTGTGTGCACGCTTCCGTGCGTGTGACATGGCAGGGGTACATCAGTCAAAGGGCTGCCGGGCCAGACGTTTGGCTGCCCCTGACAGTGCACTCCAGGAGGGGCTGGTCTGGTGAAGGGCCCACTCCCGAGTCCTCCATTCCCCAGGACAAAAGCTAGGGCCCAGTTGATAGATGTGAATTCAGTGGCTTTTGTGCCCAAAGCCCAGAGACATGCCGAGTGAGAAATCTGACCTTTGCCGAGAGTCAGATTGTGTTTTTGAACCCCTCTTGCTGTCTCTGGCAGTTCGGGGCAAAGAGTGAGTGAGCGAACGGGAGGCGATGGAGTGAGTGTGTGAGTTGGCGTGGGGTGGAGGTCTGTCCTAACCGGTGGAGTGGACAGGTGGGAGATTACGCAGGAGGAGCGCCACAAAGCACTCCTACCACATCAAACTTTACACACAACTAATTAAAATAGTTGTGTTTTTCAGCAGACAATGGATCAAGTTTGTTCTTGATATTCACTGTCATGTTGTTGTCAAATTGGCAGGAAATTGAACGTGTAAAAGCTTAATTCCGAAGCAGGGTCTTTTAAAGTGGGATTCAACAAGAGTTCACCCTAGTGTTATTCGAGGTTGTCTGTGATGTGGGATATTATTCCCTCTCACGTCTGTTTATATTGCATTATATATTTATTTTTAAGCAGAGAAGGAGCTGAATATTAAACTTACACACAAATACAGACAGAACAGGGACGATGGCAATGCACCACTTCTTGATGATCATCATTTGCATTACTCATGACAATGATTCTTCAGAATCTCATTTGATTTTCATAATTGCTGTATAGCTGTATATATACAGCTACATACACATATACTATGAAAATCACGTTGCAAAATCTCATTATAGGTACACACTTGAAAGCAATTAGCATGGAGTTTGTATGAGGTATAAGGTATATTTGTGTGTTTGTCAACGTGCTGCACTGCCTTTCTCATATTCATGCACTGTTTATGATATTACATGAATTATGATATAGCATGTTGCTTGGCGGCGGTGTGCTGAGAGCAGAGATTTTGTAGATAGAATAGGCCTATGTTTTTGAGTCATACATTTTTCTTGACACTGCTTTCATCCCCCGGCCGTAATCATCATATCTCCCCCACTGCTCTCCCGGATGCAGACATCCATAATGCAATCTTCCTAATTTTGATCCCTCGCAATCTGGTTTTTTAAAAGGGAGGGGAAAAAAGGGACATATTTTCTGAAGGCTTGCTCCGTAATCATTTTAGACAGATAGCCTTTCCCATCGCAGATGAGCAAATATTTGTAAACCAGCTATCTAATGGAAAATTAGAGTGAAATTAGAGTGAAATTCATGACAGTGAAATCCGATTATGAGTAATTCTATTATGCCATCTTAGCCCACACAGCATATTTTTGTAGAGTTTTTTCCATAAATACCTATGCCAGGGGTCCTGCTAATCAAATAAAATTGAAATTCATCTTCCCATTAAATTCAATTAGCCACAATTTCTAAAGCCTAACAAAGATTTTAATTACTAAATTATGAAATTCTCCCTAGCCAAATTGGGGAGAGAAAAAGCGCATCTGAAAAACAAACCCATGAAAGGAAATTGTTGATCAAAAAAGATATCCAGGGGAAAATAACATTAGGGAGAGCACTGGGGCCTTTATTCAGCGAGTCTGGGTGGGGAGTGACGTGTGCCAAGCGCTAGGCTCCTGGGCCGGAGGAAATGAACTTAGCTGAGGTTCTCTCTGTCTCTAAATGTCTGCCCTCAGAGTTATTATGCTGTAATTGACTAATTGACACCTTAATTTCATTTATGGGGCTCCTGTGTTCATAAAGCAACCTCTGGGTGGGGCAGTGGTCTTGAGCGGAAGCAAGGAAGTCAACATCCAGGACACCAGGTAGGGCCGTAGGCCTTCAGTTCTGTGCTCGGCAGATGACGATTATGCATTTGATAATGAAATGGTCAGGAAGAACATATTGACTTAGCAGAGGCTTAAGGAGCATCTTACTCATATGTCTAAATCCC